ACTTATTTTTATATCCTGCGGTGCACATGAAAATCACTTGTACATGTTTCTCCTTTTGTATCTTTTTGTTTTAAATTCCTTACAGTATATATATTACTTCAAGGATATTACACTTCCAGCCAAAGATATATATGAATTTTATTTTGAGCGGTGAAATATTGTTTTAAATGCAAGAAAATACAATTCATATCTTCAAGCTACCGTTTAATGTTCTTATTGTTATATAGACAAATTGATTGTTTGCATAAACAACCATTAAGAAGTGGGAAATGACATCACCATTATCATCACTATTGAGGATACATAGAATATATGCCACTCGGGTCCTGGATGGAGTTTCCTATTGATTTCTCAAGGGGTGTATTTTCCAGTAAAACATTCCTCTACATGGCAGTGTTAAGTGGAATTTGTTTTCTTAACTTTTTTGGCTGTAATTCTCTTTTCTCATTATTCACTAAGTACTGTAACTGAAACATAGAAATTTGTAATCACACTTTTATAAAAATAAATAAATGAATGTAAACATAGCATATTCAAGGTGCAATTTATTGATCAGAAGTTTGCATGTATAGTGAAAACAAGATTCTTCTTGCTAAATCACTTCAGTGTATTAATTTAAAAACGGTAAACATTTTACACCATGTTAGGCGTTTTATTCAAATGTTCTTAATATTTAACCATGAATTAAATTTTGTTTAAACTATTAAAATGGCTTTTATTGTTTCAGGTGGTGTTATGGCTAAGAGACTTGTTAAGTCGTTACTCACAGAAATTATTAAGAGGTACATTTTCATTTCAACTGGTCAAAAAATGTCAGTGGTAAAAATTCTATCCTGATGTTAATATTTTATAACACATGATATACTGCGTGCATATTTCAGATAATTAAAATTGTTATGCATTGTACCTTTTGTAGCTATCTTGACTCTGAGAGTGTAAATGTAATTCCAGATATCATGTCATAAAGAATGTGACTGCTTAATTTACTAGCAGAATTTTGTTTTGAGTTTTGCATTTACAACTACAAAGACAGAAAAAAAAGTTCAAGATAATATTTGAAAATGCAGGAAAAAAAGACAAGTACAGAGAAACCACACAAGTAGCTTAGAAAGTGTAACAAGAATATCTGAAGGAGAATAATGTGTGGAAAAAACAGAGAAAGGCAAACACTGAAAAAAGTCTGTAAAGCATGGTACTGTAATAATAATGTTAATCACTGTCAGCTTGCATCCATGGGGGACAAGCACTGGGCAAGGAAATGACAAATACATGTTAGAATGTACATGTTGATGTCTGTTTGTGTAGAAGTCAAAATAGCCGTATACTGTTTTCCTGCAGAAAGCTATATATTGTACATGTAAAATGTACCAATTACAGTTTGTAAAAAAAAGATAAAAGACACGATGTTGGCCAGAGTAAGCTGAATTTTGTCAGAGGTTTCATTAACATTTCCAGCAGGAGGGTGACTGGTTTTCACAGGCAGGCAAAACTTTTTGAACTGAACTTCTTTACAAGGAAAACTTTCCTCTAGATGTTCAAACCAGGCAGGCAAAATCGTCCTCACTGCTGGTCAATTTGCCCTGTACCCAGCCTTAATGAAACCCCTGTTTTGTTAGTGTATTTTTCACTTATTGTGTATTTGACAGAGAACATTGTTTATTTTAGACAAGCCCCAGTTCCTTGCAGATGTGGTGGTGTCATCTGACAGAGCTATTGAGACTCCTTTCCGACCATTTTCCCAAAGTGTCCTGTCTAGAAATATTTTTTCATCTCAGGTAATTTTGAGTAAATTGCCCATTGAATAAAAAGTTTATGTTAGTGGCATACAGTAAATACGCAGCAGCATCTAACTAACAATGACACTGTGAGATCAAGTTTTCTATGAGTGAAGCGAAGCCTAGCCTTGTTAACTGTCACTCATAAAAAAAAAAAATTCTAAAGGATTATAGCACAAAACGTACAGTTTTGTGCATATTTAAGCCTAAAATTAAGAATCATTTTTAGTTTCAAGAGCAGCACACACACAATCGTTGTCTCAGCAAATAGAACACGTTGAGAGAACCAATTAAATTCACGGATTTTGAAAAGAACACAGCTATGTGGCTACTAATACAGTGTAGTAATAATACCAATTAGTTTATGAGCTTGAGTTTTCTATGAGGAGACAGCTGATGAGATGCCAAAGCCCAATTTGGGTATCACCTCATGAATAGAAACAGAGAGAGCAATTGTTTGTTTGCTCGCGATTGTTTATTGTTTGTTTGTTCGTGATTGTTTATTGTTCGTTTGTTCGTGATTGTTTATTGTTCGCGATTGTTTATTTGATTGTTGTATTAGAGCTCCAGCTTAATTTCCTTCGAATGGTATTTTCCTATTATTCCTCTACATGTATTGTAGAATTGAATGTTTCACATTTTGTAATTGAGGGGCTGAATGTTTATTTGAAACATGTACCTGTGTACTTTCCGTTATCAGTCTAGTAAAATAAATTGACGTTCTGAAGTCCCTTTATTAATTGTTAATGGCCAATTTTCTTCTTTTAGCCTTGTCGGGAATTGAATTATCCAGTAACATTTCTAAATCTTACTCCAAAACGCCCAAGAAAAGAGAAAACAGCGCTATTTTCGAGTCAACTTCCAGCTACTGCACTCTAATGGCTGATTACAGGATTTGCATAAGTACACTAGTAGAATTAAACCAATAATTAGTAGACATGATAAGCAACGTTTTCTTTTTCTGCAGACAAGACTGAAGCCATTTCCTAGTTACCCTCGCGTGGATCCAAATAGTTTACAAAGTGCGATGAAAGTCCAAACAGCTCGTTTAAACCCAAGACCCCCAACTGCATCTACCTCTCAGTAAGTATAATTGCATTAATTGCAGTTAGCATGTACAATTTAAGACAACTACCTTGTGCACTGTATTGTTTAATTGTTATCAAGGCACACATGTTGAATAGTTATAATGTCAACTTACTGTACATAGAGTAAACATGTAAGTAAAGAGTATAGACCAATATCACAAGTCATCTGTGCACCTGTAACATGAAATCAATCATTGCTTGTATCTCTGATCTGATATTTTGTATTAAAATCTTCTGTATTTTTTCTTGTAGTGCACTTGATAGTAGAGACTCAGAGACACCCTTTCCTCAGGTTTGTGTTGGCGTAACTTTTTTTATACATGTTTGAGTCACATATATACAATAACTGATGTTGACACTTTTTTTGCATCATGTAAGCTGTGATCAAGTTATCACACACATACATGAAAAAATAAACGTACAGATTTATTGCCAAGATTGAAGTATTATTCCTCTCGTAGTTTTTTACCAACTTAAAGCAACCATTAATATACTTTTTTTGTGTGTCAATTCATTACATATATTTGGTAAAGCCACGTTGAGTCTGACACCATGAGTCTTTCTTATAGAGACATCAAAGGAAATCGACAATCAGTACGGATATGAGTGACTCTAGCAAATTTTAAACCTGTATTTTGTTTCTCTTTTTATCCTTCAGCCTCGCCCGCTTTCTAGTAGTACAGTCCATTCACAATTTTCACGAGTGATTGGTGGGCACACTTCAGACCCATTCATGTTCAAGAAACCCCAACCAGGCAGGAAAAACAGGTATGCGCGTGGGATTCATTTGGCAATGTTAGAAGAAACGAACTTGCACGTTCATTTGCTGTGTTTGTATAGACAGCGTTACATGGCTGTACAGTTCCAGTGCCACTATAACTTGTTTAAATGCCTGCCTTTTCAGGAACTTACCGAGTTTACAACGCTCCAATCACTTAGAAAGCGGTAAACCTAAAACACCTAGTGTACAGGTAGGCACAAACTGTTGAAGCTTTACAGTTTTAGCAATGTTTGTTTAGAATCAAAGCATGCATGTACTTTTCTATGTATCGAACGTTCTTTGCGGCTCCTTCAGTTTCTGATCTCGTCGATCAATTCTCATTTATATCTTTACACATTTGTAAGAGTACATCTGCTACAATCTGTTTTAAACGACGATCTGATTAATGAAATCGGAAAATGTTTGATTGTGAACAAGACAGTTCTAATAGTCCAGCTGTTAGGGGACAAAATTGTTCGTTTTTTGATAAAAGCATCAAACTTGGCAGGGTTACTAACCTCTATAAGACAAATATTTCCTGATATGGAGCCATGCCAAATTTGCTTCCAGAACCATGGAATGCGCATGTCAAAAATATGGCGTACAAGGCCCTTACATGGAAACGAGGCTGATGCGAAATGCCGATTATTTTGGCGTTGTGGGACTACTATGCCTTGTGTCTTGCTTTTTTTAATACAATAACAAATTAACCAGTGCCTTAGTCTTAAATTATGTCAAGTGACAGTCACGTGACCATTGTTTTCAATTACCAGCAAAGCAATAGGCACTGATGAAATCATTATCATTTTTTACATGCCAATTTTATCATTTGCAATGTAGATNATTTTATACTAATGGTATCTTGTGTTCTTGCATTACATGATGACTTTTGTCATGTATCGGTTGCTATTGTAAACTATGCAAGAGTACATAACAGGTTTTTTTTTTTTTCTGCCAATAGGATGACGTTATGAGAGATATCGTTCAAGGAAAAAAATTGTGAGTAGACTTAATTATTTTCATGTGGTTTATTACTTGACGTAAGGTGCAAATGTAGTCATAATTCTTAAGCAGTCGTAAAATGTCATTGGAAAGCCAAAGGAACTGTTTTGAAACAAAAAAGTTACGAGTTATAAGTGATAGCTAGTGCCTACTGAACGTCTTCATCATACGAAGAGAAGACCTTGCAAAATACTGCTTTGAATGTTAAACGAACAATGTCTAACTTTTGCTAGATTTACCGAGAAGGAGAGACTTTCGTCTCCGCCTCAAGCGCATCCTAACTCGCCAACACCAAACCTGTGAGTACGGAGTGATTCAATCGTATTTATAGCTTATACACATGTGTTGTGTGGGTGGTGTTATTGCATGGTCAGTGAAAAAAAGTAAACGTTTGATGAATGAGGCGAGTGGGCTGCATAGCAACTGATTGCCATGTAGTGCACGAGAGAAAAAAAAAGTCATTATACGAGAAGCCAGAACATGGAAGGAGTCGGCCGCTGTTACTTTTTACATTAGGGTGTAACGATTCGTATTCCTTACGATTCGATTCAATTTAGATTATTGCCTTTCGATTTCGATTATTTCATTTCGATTATGCAAGATATTAATGCTTTTTTAATTCTTACAACATGATACACAATGTAAGCAACATACAACCCTAAACCCTCTATTTTAGGATACAATGACAGTGTCGCGCATGGTTTGCCTTATTTGGAAATTCTCAAGGGGTGTTAGAAGGGCAATATTTTTACCACGCAACACAAAATGGCGCACGAACTGCAAACGTCTTTACTCGTCAATTAAAAACGCATATTTTTAAAGAGTTCTAGATTCTGATTTCACAATATAACAACTCACTGAGGGCACTCTGAGAAAGGTATGCAAAAAATCGAGCCAAAATCGAAACGTGGAATCAAAGAATCGTGGATCGAACCGAACAGTCATAATCGTGATTAATCGAGAATTCGATTAATCGTTACACCACTATTTTACATTAAGTGCAATGAGCTAGATTTGAAGTTCTGTTTATCGAGTCCTGAAATTCTAAAGGAACGTTACCTTCTGGTTCTGAGATGCGGTGAAGACTACATGCATAGCCGTTCCTAGAATTATGAAAGCCGTTTTCTTTGCCTAAGCTCGTGTTCTCTTTCTTGATTTTCCAGGGGAAGAATCGTACTTCCTCCTATAGACGGGTCTCCACACAGAGAGACACCAGTCCATCCAAATGGAGGTAGAAACAGTGCGGTAAGAAAACAAGTTTGTAAAGTTAGTTGGTAATAGTTTGTAAATTAGATTGTAACAAGCACCATCTGTTTCTTTTGTATTTTGTAATTTATTTTAATGTAATGCGGTACTATGTTGTATGTTGTTATACTAGTAAAGATAATTAAAGCAACAAAAGAAAACAACGTATGTTTTATTCCTTATTCGGAATTTGTTTACAGAAACAAGTTTCATTCCGGTCTTCAAGCGCATCAAGTGCGGCAACGAACGATTCTAGGTAAGTACATTTTAAAACTACACGTCATTCAGATGTGCATGCTTCTGTAACAGGAAACAAGGAAGTAGCACTCGCTCGGGGAGTTCATGCTTTTTATCCATGACCTGGTTAATTGCATTATCATCTTTTGGGAAAGTATGTTGTTATCAATATCAATTCTAAGGAGCAATCTGCCAAAACCATTGTCTGCTATCTCATTTTATACTGTCGATAAGAAAACCTCCCTCCATTCTGACACCCCATCCGTGGTTATGGTGGCCAAGTTATTGTGTCCTTTGTAGTGATGGTTATTTTTAATAAACTTTTATTGTTGTTTAAGTGTTATTTATTGTATTGTTTAAGTGTTTCAACTACATTTTGCAAATATATCAATTTTAATTATTTTTCGCTTTTATTATAGAAGTTGTAACCCCTTCTAGTAGAGGGTTGACCCTCTGCCATATACCCATTTTTCCGACACATCAACAAATTTATTATAACACGTTTGTTGAGTAATTTGATTTGTCTTACCTTTCCTTTCTATATGCACTTGTGTAATTATTTTACAGGAAACCTTTGAAAGACAGATCACCGTATTTTACAGAGCCAAGACCATATACATCAGCTGAAACGCCTTCACTGAAAGTAAGCCTCTCAGCGTTCACTATTTTAAGTGAGATTTCGTGGTGAAGTTTATCAAGGGTTGTTTTCATATTAAAGGAGAATTGCGGAATAGTTATTTGTAGTATTTGATAATCAGCGGTGGGAAAACTTAACGCATTGTCATCCACACTGGAAATTGTAATTTCGAGATGAAGCAAGCTCATAACGAGGTTGAGCAGTTGATTCTAAATTGGATCACAGAGAGAAACGCGTGGACTTGACCTTGTGACAGCTGACTGTAAAGGAGCAAGCAAAAAAACAAACTGTCGGGCGGTCGGGCAGTCAGTCAATCAATAACCAATCGAACCAATCTGACACTTTGTGTATTGGCTGGCTGACATCTTGCCCTCCAGAGAGTTAGTTATCTTTTGAGTTGAGGCAGGTTTCTTCGTCCAATTCGCCGTCAACGGTATTTTGTAGAATGATGTTCACAGAATGACGGTCGGTAACACTGAACAAACGAACGTAAGACTGGAACTACTTGATGCATCAGCCAATCTGAATGAAACTCACGCTTCTCTCCTTTGCTGCAGAATGATCTAGCAACTCGGCGCTCGTCAACCCCCATGGGGACCCATAGAGTAGGGCTGTACTCTCGAGACCGTCAAACCAGACATCCACAGAGCCCCCTGATGACGGGGATCACTGGTGTAAGTATGTCAATTAGCAGTCATCCTGCAACCGAGGCTAACGCGTCATCGCTTACCTCATCGTACAGTCATCAGTATGATGGACGAGGAATCTCGCCCGTTAGCGACGAGGAATACGAAGGCTTGAAAAGTGAGTGCACTAATCTTAATTTCTAGTGGTATTGTACATGTACAGCAACTTTGGCTATTCCCTAAACGAGTAGATCGCAGTCTATATGTCATGCAGGTGTCCGTATTATTGACTGAGGTAAAGGTAACAATGTTTTAATTTTTATTTTTCCTGGATCAAAATGTTATGAAGGTGTCCGTAGTTAGGAGATGTCCGTAAGGAAAAGTGGGACTGTATAGCAAGAATCAAGGATAAAGATTTTGTTCAGCCACTCTAATGCCCTTGTATCTCTCTGTGTTGTTTCGCCAGGTCCTGGGCCTTCAAATCAGCATTCTCAGAAAAGAAGCAAATTAGTACCGAGCATTAGGTAGCATATAACCAAATCGAAGAAAATATATATCGAGGACAATTTGATATTCATCACCAGTATTTAATTGTTCCGTTTGTTACGAAGATGTACAGATTGTTGATCGTAATATATTTTGTACAGAAATAATTACTCCATAGAAACATTTCTAACTTTCTAAATGAACTAGGAACAGAAGGCTTCAGAAGAGGTTTCTTCGGGAGCCCATTGCTCCTTTACAAGCGAGGGAATGGTTGTGGGAGCTACTGCATTACTCCTTTATCAAATCAGTTTTAGTCTACCCTTGTTACACATTCGTCTCTGTTGCAATGTTGCAAACTGCAAGCTGCAAGATGATGTTGAGGTTCTCTTTGATATTTCCAACTTTAAGCACAGCACAACAACAAAAACCACAACAATACATGTTTTCCGTTTAACACACACAATTCACATGGTCACCGTTGTCACAGTTCATGATAACTAGGAAGATATCGTATTTATCAACTATAGATATTTGCGAAGTATCGTAGTTTTGCAATTTTTGCAATTACTTCGTTTTTGCTCTATATACATGTACGTTGCAAGGTAAATCACAAAATCTGTCTTTACTTTGAGCTATCTACATTAGCCTGTTCTTCGCGTATTTTCGTCCTTCAGTATTTCACAACTCCCTGTGCCTGCATTTCTCATCGCAGAATCATGCAGTTGCATTGCCAAGCAACATAACGTGAATTTTATAGTCGTGGCCTTTGCATTGTTTCGAGTGAATCAGATTGAGAACTCTCAAAGTGTAATATAGAGCAGTGATAAACCTTTGCAACGAAACAACGCACTTGCTGCGACCAAGGAATTTCTAGAAAAGATTCAAGTAATTGTGAATCGTTTTACGTTTGCACACGCGAAGCCAAAGATACCAAGAAGCCACTGTGCAGAGCAATACGTGTCCTGAATTGTACATTTATATTACGGACGTCCCTGTAATAAGCTCCTTTTCAGATCTTGACCAATCGGGAAATTGCTCAAGGTATAATGTATTGGTTCTAGGGTATGATATTTATAGAATAATGTATTTATGGAAAGAACTCCATTTCTTATCAAAAACGACAATTTGAAATTTAGTTCATCTTGATCGATATAACCGAGGCTGATTAATTCCGCTGTCAGTCCAGATACTGCTTGAGCATTTATGGCTTATTGCTCAGTGGTAGATATTTTTGTATTTTTTTCATGTAAATAATAATATTAATAAAAAATGATGCTAGGTTTATATACCATAGTCAATTGCTAGCGTTTTTCAAAGGGATGTTTACCTTGTTATCCTCCCATCTTCTCATATTTGAGATTAATCGAAATTAGTTCAATTAATTAAATCGTTACACTTTGTAGTCCTTATGTCGTGACAAAATGAGCGCTGTTATGACAAAGTACCTCACTGTATTCTCTGTACTAGAATTCAAAGCAAATGTGTTACCGTTAAATTAATGTACTCGTTAACCAATGATTAATATGATGCATTTCACGACAAACGAAAGATACGTTGACTGTAACACTAACAAATAAGGGGGAATTTTACACATGAACCTAGAGGATTAATTAAATTAATTTTAGGAAAATGATTTTATTGCAGTGAAACCGTTTCCTTGAAGTAATTGGCCCATTTTTTAGCTTGGGCGGTTTCTTGCCCCATTTCAGACCATGTGATGATACTCTTGAGAATTCTTGCTTTCAAAGTTTTAAATGGTCGCTGTATCTTGGATGGATAAATGAACAATTCTCAAGAGAATGCCACGGGTTTGTAATGGGAAAACAAATCGCCCAAGCTAAAGAGGTTCATTCATTGGACAGGTTGCTTATGCTATAGCATTAAGTTAATTTATTGTACTGAATTTATTTTAGTACTTTTATGTTGTCATTATTTATTTGCATTCTAAGTTATTGCTTTCTTACCTTCCTCTGTCAAATATACCATGCTCGTGTTTTCTTGGTGGGACCGTGGCCCCGTCCACACTATGCCGGAGAAATCTGAAAACGCAGCACTAATCCGTCACGAAAACGGAACTTTTTGAAAACGTTCTTCAAACCGGAGGAGTTTGAAAACGATTGCGTCACAATAATCATGTGAATTCCCTTCCAGAGTTTTGTTTTTGTTTGTGTGTGTGTGTGTTTTTTTTTTTTTTTTTTT